CGATTTACACTCCCGTTTAGTCATAAACAGATGTTGTTTTATCTAGATATTATGTCTTTAGTTTGAACAGTGTGTATCTGCTCATGACTGCTGTTAATCACTGCTCATAACTGCTGTTAATCATCAAACCACTGAGATAATGACTATGTGTGTGTGGCCTAGTATATAACACCCTGTGTCAGAAATAAACTTTGCCATTAGCCATCAGCTTTTGGTCATTCATTGTGTCCGCGGTCATCTCCCCGAGTCCCTTCCTCTAGAAGGAGACCTCAACGGATGGCCACATTCACGTACATGTGGGAAAGATGGCCCCGGTTGTGTTGGTCACCCAATCCAGAGCTAACAAACAAAAACAAAATTTTGCCAAATGCTTTACTTTGCAAACTAAATTGTTCACAAACAAGTGTTCATCAACTCAATACATAATGGACATGAAATGATCACTGAGCTTACAGAAGACACTAATAAAAAGGTAGCCTAACTAAACAAAATGTTACAAAGCATGAATGAACAGATAGTACAGAATTAAGAGTGCATAAAAATGTACAAAACTGAAACTAGGAGACAAAAGATTCTACTGATAATATGGGCAGCAGGAATGACCAGTGTGAGAACAGAGGGTCAGAACTAGAAGAGAGGTCTCAGCCAAAAACATGCTGGAGGAAAGCAGCCTCTTTAGCAAGTGCTGCTGGGAAAACTAGATATCCACATACAGAAAATTGAACCTAGACCCATATCTCTCACTATGTAATAAAGTAAAATCAAAATGGATGGAAGAGCTAAATGTTAAAACAGGAACATGAAATCTGCTGGGAGATAAAATGGGTAAAACTCTTGAAGAAATAGGTGTAGGGAAGGACTTTCTAATCCCAACGGCACAAGAAATAGTACCAAGAATCAACTAATGGGATCATATCAAATAAAAAAGCCTCTGCTCAACAAAGGAAACAACCAACAAAGTGAAGAGACAACCTACAGAGTGGGAGATAGTTTTTGACAATTTTTCAGACAGAGGACTAATGTCTAGAGTATATAAGGAACTCAAAAAATTATACCCTCCCCAAAGACCCAATTAAAAATGGGCAACTGAGATGAACAGACACTTCTCAGAAGAAGTAAAAATGGCCAATGAGTATATGAAAAAATGTTCAGTGTCTCTGGCCATTATAGAAACACAAATTAAAACAACACTGAGATTCTACCTTTCTCCACAAAAATGGTTATCATCAAGCATTCAAATAATAACAGATCCTGGTGAGGTTTCTGGGTAAAAGGAAACCTTTTATATTGTTGGTGGAAATGTAAACTAAGTAGAACCACCATGGAAATCAGTATGAGTTTTCCTCAAAAAACTAGAATTCCACTTCATCCAGATATTCCACTTCTATATATTTTCCTGAGTTAAAGACATCATATTACACGGATACATGCATATTCACGTTTATAGCAGCACAAATCGTAATACCTAAATGTTGGAAGTGGCCTATATGTCCACAGATGAATGGATTTAAAATGTAGTATTTCCATACAATGGAATACTATTCTGCCATAAAGAAGGATAAAACTTGTAGAATTTGCAGCATTTGTAAGAATTTGTAAGAAAATGGATGCACTTTGAGAGTATAATATTAAGTGAAACAAATCGGACACACAAGCTTAAATACCACATGATTTCTCTTCTATGAGAAACCCAAAGAATAAATAAGTTAAAAAGCAAAATAAAAGATAAATAATAGGGAACAGAAGTTTTGGAAAAAGAAAGAGGATCAAGAGATGGAGGGAGGCAGGGGGGAAGGGAGAGGAAGGGAATAAAACACAAATTAAGATGTGTTATGGAAGCTGGGGATTTAGCTCAGTGGTTCCACCAACTGCCTCAAAAGTGCAAGGTCCTGAGTTCAATCCCTGGTATCAAAAGAAAAGAAAAAAAAGATGTGTTATGTACACATCTTCCCACAATGAATGCAATCATTATATATGGCAAATATATACTAATAAATAAAGAAGAAAATAGATAATTTATCACAGAGTAAATATTAAAGGCTATTTTTAAGCAAAAAATAGAATTACAGAGGTATAGAAAAAATCTACAGCAAGAAAAATTAGCAAAGTTATACTAACAATATAAAACAACAGTAAAATGTTGTCTTGAAATAAAAATACATATAAAAATAAAATACATGACAGAGTATGTCAGTCAAATACATGACAGAGTGGAGAGGATACATGATGTTGAACTGCTCTAAGATTCTTTTCCTCTGGAATTATTAAAATCTTACTAAGTCAGCTGGATATTACAGTCTTTGGAATCACCTGTAAAAGAATAGTAAAGGAATGTATATGTGCTGCCGAAGTAAGCACAAGTAAAGGAATATATAACTAATACCTAATGGAAGAAAATTTGAGGAAAATCTAATCTTCTAATAGAAGGTAAAAAGTGAGAAAAAAACAAGTATAATAAATAAAAATCATTAGTAAGGTAGATTTAGGGCTAAAATACACCAATAATTACATTAAATGTGAGTGAGTATTGTAATTTATTAAAAAGCCTAAAATCGTCCTACAGAACTTTTTAAAAGAAATTTAACCATTATTTATTTATAAGAGATATACTTTTGATATAAGTTAAAGGAAAGAGAAAAATCTTTCATAATTCTTGTGGGGATGGCTGAATAACTGGATGGATGGTTGGCTTATTTACTGTCATGGAAATAAATCAAGTCTGTATGGAGCAATTCTGGTTTAAAAGTTGTGTTTGGGGCTACAGCTCACTGGTAGAGACCTCCCTTAGCATACCTGAGGCCCTAGGTTTAATCCCCAGCACCACACACAAATTTAATTTTTGAATATGTTAATTTTGAGGTGCCAAAATTGTCAAGTTAGATACACAAGCTTGAAGATGAAGGGAAAGATCAGGACTAAAAATAAATATTTGAGATTTATTGGCAAATAAGTGCGATTTAAAGCCATATATGAGAAAGATGAGGTCACTTTACCAAGAATCCCATTCTGCAGTACTTCAAACCTCAAGTCTAGTTCTGCAAATGAGGAGCCAGCAGAAAAGGCTGAAGAGGAGTCACAGTTGAGCGTGATTTATTGGAAGCCAAGAAAAGAAAGCATTCTGAGAAGGATGGAGGGTCAACTCCATCAAATGCTTCTGAAAGGTCAAATGTACAGAGATGTGATCACAGAGCTTGTTATACAGCAATCATCCGGGAACGGAAGTGGTGGAGACAGAAGCCAATCTGAGATGGGCTGATGACAGAATAGGAGGTGGAGACTGTCACCAAGAATGCCACAGAAGGATTTCTGGGTTTCCTGTAAAGGAGCAGTGAAGGGGAAGGGAAGACAGTTAATCACTAGTGAAGGAAAAAAAAAAATCACTTTTTCTTCAATTTCTCTTCTCTTCCCCTTCACTGCTCCTTTACAATGTTCTTAGAGAGTTGTAAGGAACAGTTACCAAGTATAACAGGCAAGGCAGACAGAAGTGTATAGATTCTTCCTGTCGTGTGTTAGATTTGGTTGAGAAAAGACATGAAAGTTTTACCTGATTGCCCATATCCTAGTTCCACGCTGCATTAGTTACCACACTGGGGGTAAGTTATTTAACAGTTTTATGCTTTGGTTTTTTCATATGTCAAATGCGAATAACAACATTTATTTTATAAGCTGGTTACATACATCACTTAGAATGGTGCTCAGTACATAATAAATTGCCATCTTTGCCAAATAAAAATACAGGATGACCAGTTTAATTTAAATTTCAGACAAGTGAAAAATAAATTTTAGTATAAATATAACCCACGTAATATTTATTTAGCAGTCCTATGATTACACACTAAGCATGTCTGTTAAGTATTTAATAATTTTTCCATCTATGTTTCCAGGACACTGGAAATCTATTCCAGTTGTTTCCGTACATCTGTCCCTCCTATGAGGAAATCTCCTGAAGGCAAGAATCATGTCTGATTTATCTCTTTATCCCTGTAATGCCTCCTAATAATATACATTAATTGTGTTACAGAAAAGATATGAGTACTAGGAAATGTAATCAAATACTATCTGCTGTCTTTACTGCTGATTCCTTTTAAATTTCCTCAAAAGATGTATTCTTAGAAAAGCTAGGAGAGGGGAGGAGTCAACCTCCATCACTCCCTATAGCCGCAGTCCTTGACTAGTCAGTGTCCTGCCCTGGCCAGAGCCTGGGCCACTTATGAATTAGTAATGATACACTTTTTTGTTGGCTTGGGGAGGGAAGGAGGACTGAAAACAGCGACATCTCTAATGAAGTAAAACCTGGTGGGTGAGAGACTGAGAGTATGTTTCCCGACACTACTAGAGGGTGTACTCTCAGCATGTTTGAAAGCTCTAGCATTTGTCTTCCTAATATTTTCCTCCTGTTTTCTTAGCCAAGTCTCAGTGTTGCTCAGGGTGGCTAGGAGACATTCTAAAAATATTCATATTCCTAGATTTCCACAAGGTACTCAGCATTGGTGTAGGTAATGAGAGGAAAACAGACATCTCTAGAGTGCTGCCAAGAAAACTATTATTTTCAAAATCACAAAACAATAGACTTGATCAAGTGTGCTGTAATCCCAGCTACCTGGGAGGCTGAGGCAGATGGTCTTGAGTGAGAGACCAGTCTGGGTAACTTAGTGAGTCCCACGTCAAAGAAACACACACACACACACACACACGCATATGCTCAGATGGAAAATCCCTTAGCTCTTTGCCCTTCTACCTTTAATCCTTTTTCTCTTTTGATTTGGCTGGAACATGTATGTTTGTCATAAATGATAACAGATATAACAAGTATAACAGATATAAAAGAAATATTAAGATGATATAAAAACAAATGCAACACATTCATTTATCAAAACTGACTTCAACAATAGTTAATAAAGTCTTAACATATAAATGAGAAAGTAAGCATGTGGTGGTAAACAACAACTGTGTACTAGATTGAACTACAGCTGAAGTAAAATTTTTACATATTTACTCACCAGTGAAACCCAGAACTTCTCTGGTTCAGAGTAGAAGCCACAGAGGATGGGAGAAGGGCTTGGTGGAAAGAAAATCTTAGGTAATGGCTCCTCTTCTTCCTCTTCCTCCTCCTCCTCATGGAATTCTTGTTCTCCATCTTCTCCCCTCTCTTCTACTAGTTTCCCCCTCTTTGCTTCCCTTTCCTTTGCCTTCAACTCCTTTTGTTTTTCTCTCTTTTCAATTTCTCTTAATCTCTTTTAAAAGAGACATTAGGTAGATAAAAAACTACTGTAACATTCATTTATATCACAGGAAATTATAACAAAGATGATAGAAGGAAGATAGGATTCTAGAAAATCTCATAGCTCTGACGTAAAAATTATATTTAAAAATGATTATTATGGGCTGGGGATTTAGCTCAGCGGTTCAGTGGCCTGCCTTGCAAGTGCAAGGACCCGAGTTCAACCCCTGGTACCAAAAAATAATTACTATTTTATCACTAACATTCAAATCAGTGGAATGCCTGTCATCTTTGTTTCATTCACTGGTTTTCTAGAAACTGTCATTCTTCCCTAATTGAGACTTCAAATAGTTTTTCTCTCAGAATTTGTCACTGTCAATCCGGGAACAAGGTGACCTGAAATTGTCCATGAGGGAAGTTGTTCCTGACTTTAGAAGTACAATGATTTAGACCCTCATTGTCTATCAACTGTCCACTGTAAAAGACCCTAACACTAATATTCCAGTCTTCTTTGACTTCTCTTTCGTTTATCCCTTAGAATTACCATCCTCATTGACATGATTTTGTCACATCAATCCCCTTCTAAAAAACACTGTCTAAATTGAAACATCTTGGCTGAGGCAGGAGGCAGAACACTGAGCCAAATCCACAGCCCTTGGCTGGCTTTTGAGGAGCCCCTCCATCTGGTCACAGATTCCCGCGGCATCCCTCCACCGACTGCTTCCCTTTATTTTATCAATCCAGTCTTCATCTCTGGGAAAAAACTGGAAACTCTCACAACTCAGCTTTCCCTCCAGATATTCTCCCAGACTTTATCACCAGCCTCCCCAATTTATCCTTTAAAAATTCTTCCCATTCTCTGTTAAATGTCAGTCACTTCTGTGCAACCCTGTTTGATCTCTTCCCACACCTCCATCAGCCTCAGTCACCTAACCACTCCCGTGCAGACCTGCAACTCCCATTCACTGTTGCTTCCTGATACGGTCAGCTGCTTTCCCCTAAGATTAAAAGCTCCTCAAGGGCAGGTTCTGTTTTATTCTTCCTGGCATTCTCCCAGCACCTCACACAGGGTATTTCATATTCTAATGGAATGGAAAATATTAGAAGGTAATTTTTCAAGATTATCTCGTACCACAATCTTAGATTTGACACTTGAGAAATGGAAATATCTGATGGGCATGTCACTGATTTCATAGGAGAGTACATCGTGATTCTCTTCTTCATTAATGGGTGGATACGGAGCTTGAAGAACATAGCCATTTTCACAGATAATCAGTAAAGTGCTTTCAGGCTGGACAGGGAAGATTAAACATGGAATTTATATTTAGACAAATTTGTACAAGCATAATTCAAAAAGTATAAACCAGAAAAGTATAATTGATATGTATTATAACTATTCTAAAAAGATACTTGATTCTTCTTTGTGGTTATTGCTACTAAGTCTAGTTATCCCTAATGACATCATCATTAGTAGAAATGAACTAAGCCAAGTAAAGGAGGGATGGGTAAGGAAGTGGAGTTAGTCTATCGGAATAGTCAATACTTTTGAGAAAGATGGCTGAAAAGAGAGATGGTACAGTAGGTGGAAGAGAACATAAGATAAAGGAATTTATTTTTTGTAAGTGGGAAAGGCTAGAATATACTTAAATACTGATGAAAATTATCCAGCAAAGAGGTGAAGTTAAATTTATATGGCAGAAAAAAGAACTAAAGAGAAATACTGAAGAAAAAAAAAGATGGAGGGAGTAGAACTCGAAGGACTAGAGACAGAACTGCTAAGCAGGAAAGGAGAAAAGTCCACTGTTGTAAAAGAAGAAAGCAGAGGAGGCAGGTGCAGAGGAAAACGAAATGTCTGCCTGGTAGTGGGAAGGTGAAGAAGCTTCTTCGTGAGGGCCTCTGCTCTTTCCGTGAAGTAATGCCGAGAGACACAGGGAGTTACTGAAGCTGTGAGGAGAGAAGTTTTTAAATGGTCAGCACACGTGAATGAGGGAAAAGCACTGTCCCAGGATTGCTGAGTCATCCAGGGATTGTGTGGGGGCCGTTTGAATCATTATGGTATGGAGGAGCAAATATTCCTTGACATACGACCGTGTCCAGCAGCAGGTAAATGTGAATTAGTTGGGGATATTTGGGGATGCATCTCCAGATAGGTACGCAGAAAAAATACAGAAATAGGGAAGATCAGGGGACTGGAAGAATGCTATGGATCTTTATTTGTCTAGGTCAGTTCAGAGTGCTATAACAGAATGCCATACACTGGGTGGTTTAAACAACAGATATTTATTTTTCTCACATTTGATGGTTGAGGAGTCCAGAAAAGCACCAGTGTCTGGCCAGAGCGTGCCTCTTGGGTTGCAGTTGTCAGTCTTTTGTATTCTCACATAAAAAAAACCACTGTTCTCTCCCTCCCCTTATAAGGCCCCGAATCCCATTCATTCTCCATCCTCATGGCCTAATAATTCCCCAAAGGTGCCACCTCCAGAGACTGTCATTTTGGGAATTCAGGCTTCAAAAAATTAATTTGACAGGAACATGAACATTCAATTCCTAACCCTATGGAAATGAAGAGTTATAAAATTTAAACTACATACGAAAGTAAGGAAAGAATGAACTAATGGGTAACAGAAAGCAAACTAGAAATAAAACACAGGTCTCTGTACCATCAGAGACAAAGACATACTGGAGCAGGAAGAGCCAAATGACTAGGAAGAAAGATTGTCATCAGAGAATGGGTTATGTGAATAGTTAACTCTAATGTGCTGTATTGTGCCGGTATCCCACACACATCCATTTATTGAAGTCCTAGTCCCCGATGCCTTAGAATGAGAGTAAGAAATAGAAACTTTAAAGAAGTAATTAAGTTTTAAAAAGGTTGTAAGAATGAGCCCTTAATCTATTGTAACTACCGTCCTTGTGAAGAGGAGGTGAGGATACAAGCAAAACAGACAGAGGATGTCCATGTGAAGACGCAGAGAAAAACAGCTATGCCAGAGAGGCCTTACAAAAAAATCAAACCTACCACTATCTTAACCTTGGACTACCTTCTAAATTTTTGATAAAATACATTTCTGTAGTTTAAGTTACTTTAACTGTGGTACTTTTTTTTATGGCAAACTAAAATACAGCAATAATAGTGTCAAACGACTGGCTATGAAAGTGCATGGATGAGCTCTAAAGATTATGGGAGATCAGAATTCAAAAGTTCAGTTTGCTGCTGTTTGGTTAATTATCCATGTAGTGGTAATGTCATCCTGAATAACTGCTTGTAGTTTGAAAAGAAAGTTAACTATAATCGAAAGCTTTTTGTTTTTCTTTTTTGGTACCAGGGATCGAACTTGGGCCTTTGCGCTGGGGAGGCAGGCCACCGAACCGCTGAGCTAAATCCCCGACAGGTAAATTATATAATTCCATTTCATTAGGGTCAATTCCTGAAGATTTATCTTGTTCCCCCATTTAGAACGCTTTTGTCTCATTCTTCATTTTCTATTACCCTATGGTGTTAGTGTCTGTACGTGAGACAAAGCAGATACCTCTCTGTCTTCTCAGGCAACTCCATTAATCAGCCTAACCAGAGATTATGGGACTCTCCAACACTTTTTCTCTCCAGGTTGAAGGAGGCAGCAGTTGTTTTTGTATGCATCTTTAAACTGAACTGGGTTGAAGTACTAGCATCTACTCATCCAAAACACAGTTTCCACTCTCTGTCAGGAAGATAAACTGCTATCTAGAATACTGTGCCAACAAAAATATGCTTCAACAATGAAAGAAAAATTACAGAACAGTAAAAACTATGAGATCTTTCCAACAGCAGTCTTGCAATAAATGAGGATCTAAAGAATATGACAAGGGTAGAAGGAAGTTTTCAGAAAGAAGAAAGAATTAATAGCAATGAATTCTATTAGACACCTCAAAATAATGTTCAGAAAATCTAAAGATCACCAAATTCTGACAATTCTGTTTTCTACATATCTCTGCACAGACTTTTCACCCCCTGGTCACATTTTATCTGAAACATAGCTTCCCAAATTATTCTCCTGCCTCTGATCTTGTAGTAATTTCCCCACACTGCTACTAAAGTGATCATGGTTTGTTAATAGTGGGAAGGATGGTTTCCTGTACATAGGGGATCCACCCTTACTGGACAAACCCAAAAACAAAAGGCAGAAGCTTAATGCTTTCAGGCAGGTATGCAGTCTGACAATCTGGTAAGATCTAACTAAGACCTACTGCTTTTGAATAAAAGAGTTCTGCAGCGTGTCTGCTGCACAGAGTAAAATACTTGGAGGTGGGTAATTCTCAAATATTATAAATACAAGTGTTAACAGACAACTGCTTGAAATAACTTTTGAATTGTGCTGGCTTTTTAATCTCATATGTTTGCTTTTATTTTGAAATAATTATAGATCCAAAGGAAGTTGAAAAACTAGTATAGAGAGATACTGCAAGACAGGGAGCACTGTAGGTAGGGAAAAGATAGGATGAAGGACTCCTTGAGCTTTATTAAACATTAATAAGGCAGTTTTAATCTCTGCAGCCAGACTCCAGCAGTTAGATAGGCAAAGACAGCTAGACTCTGAGGAATTAGAAAGACTAAGGCAGATATCTAAACTCAAGCAATTAGAAAGACAAAGGCAAAGAAGTAGGACCAGGAAGTTCCTAGGTAGCTCCACCAACATAAGAATTGTAAACTCCCCTTCTCTTAATACTTTCGCCTAAACTATCTGTCCATAAAGCGCCCACCCATAGTTGTACCTTCTACCAAAGGACAGGGAAAGGTCTCCGGGCTGGAAGAAATCCAAAGTTAGGATGAAAGACAAGCCAGGGAGCCAATCAGATTCTAAGAACCTATATGGGATGAAGATTTCAATAAAAGGAGCAGCAGACAAGAGATCCACAAGTTATTCACTTTTGAATTCTCCCTAGTCAACCACAGTAGCTGTCTGTTATCTCTCTCTTCCTTCTTCCCTGTCTTCATAAGTTGTCTTACTTTATTTTAAACTGCTTTTTTAGTTCTTTATTGATGCTGAGTTTAGGACCACTGGGAACTGACAGTGGCTTTTTGTCCTCCCCTGGATGATTCAGTGCGGCATACCCTGTTATGGTGTACAACGCTCCCCAGATGTTACAATATTATGCTAGTGTTTTACCACTAAGATATAGTCCCAGCCTCTTTTCCCTTTCTGGAGAGTCCCTGCTCCAAATTCAAAACACAAATTGTTTATGTCATACCTGGCCTGAATCAGACCTTCACAGCAAACATGCCATTCTTAGCAAACGACAAGAAAAGGCCCATGCTACCTCAGTAAACAGAACAGATGGCCATAAAGAAAATCTAAGAGACAATGTACACTATCCCTGGCACTGAGAAGTCTAGTAATTGTCTGCTGACTGTCCTTGGACCCTTAATTATAAACATTCCATTTTAGATTCCTTAGGATTATATCCTCCTTTTTAAGCCCATAAAAATTTAATTTCTCTCCCAGCTAGCTGCTAAAAATCATTCAGAATCTCAGCCCTATCTACATACAGACAAACTCCAGTCTTTCCCCACATAAAGCCTGTGTCCGGGTAGCCTCTCGTATGTTGTTTGTAACATTCAGTGGCAAATGTTAGGATAGGGTAACCCTCTTTGGAGGGCTTTATACTTTATCCCAAACACCCTACAGAGGCCACTTGGTGACATAGGTCTCTAGACTTCGCTCAAGCACTCCAGGCAGCTCCTCAGCTCCAGCCATTCCAGCAACTTCAGGCCAGGTAAGGCCTTTTTCCTGCCTCTTAGCCACCTGGGCCCTGCTTTTCCACTCTCTGTGCCTTTTAATGGTCTCTGCAGCTTTAAGATCACCCTCTCTCCTCTCTTCACTATGCCTTTAAGAACGGCCTCCCACCCGCCCCACCGCCTGGTGGCTGCCACCTCTACAGCTGCTCTATACTTCCACCCTTTCTTCTGCTCAGCTTCTCTCCCTCTCCCTTCAAGCGAGAGGACAGAGAGAGGTCCGTTTTGTTCTTCTGTGTGGTAGGTAGGGAAAACATAGGATGAATCTCAGCCCTGTTTGCATCCAGACAGAATAAATCCATCCTGTGTCCATGAGGTCTTTTATGCACCGTTTGTAACAGTTTATACCACTGAGATTTCAATTACCAATTCCCTTGTGAACCTTTTTATTGTCCAGTAATAAAGTTTTTAAACGTATGTATACATACTTTGTGTACACTTTTTGTATGTACTTTTTCTCCTTGAGAATAAAGTCTTCATTCAGCTTAGCAAATTCACCAGTGTTTAGTAAAGATGGTGACAATAATTATTTGTTGATTAATTTTTTAAAGGACTTCTCCAGACAATACTAACATATCCTCCAAAGAGCTTCAAGTTGATTTCAAATGTTTTCCCAATAATCCTGCCAGCACTTCCAGGTTTTTATCTGTATTATTATCTAGGCACTTTGCAGAACACTTAGACAACCAACATTTAGATGAATTATCCTATGCTCACACCTTGTAAATTAGAGATATTAATGATATTAATAGTCAATACTGAAAATTGTTAGGAAAGAAGCAATGGAAGGTTAGAAAAGAGATGATTTGGGAGTAGAGGAAAAGTAAAGAGATAAAAGATAAGGAAAGGGGCCGGGGATTTGGCTCAGTGGTTCCGCCTCCTGCCTCACAAGTGCAAGGTCCTGAGTTCAATGCCCCGTACCACAAACAAAACAAAAAAACTAAATGATGAGGAAAAGTACACTCAGGTTTTAGAATTGAGCTTCTGATTGTCAGAGAGACTGACGACTGAATGATCCAAGTCAGAGCATTCTGATATGTCTAGCCAAAAGTCATCAATGCTGAAGCAAAGCCTGATATAACCCTGTGTTTGGAGAGGCAGTGGTGGCCAACTATTTAGAGTCTGGAAGAGAAAGGAGGTAGTGAGGAGAATACAGAGCCCCAGAGTGTCACTGGACCAGCGGAACTCAGCGGCAGCCACCGGTGCTTTCTGTCACTGTGTTCCTGGGCGTGGGATGAATAAACTCACCTGTTATTCTCTAGCTATAAGATCACTTCATGATGTGGTTATTGAGATTTAAGCTTGAGGAGAGATAATGATAACTTACATGAGAGAGTGTGGACCATATTAACTGGCAAACAGGTCCGGGAGTTTTGATATAACCGATTGGCTTATAATCTTTTTCCACTTCAAAGAAAAAGACAGTGTGATCTTCACTCTGAGAAAAAAGAGACACATTCACCAAATGTATATTACTATGAAATCTAGTTTACAGAGCACAAAAGAGCCTTTAATGGCATATGGTATACTCAATGATCATACAGCTAAGATTTTTCTGAAAACATGATTTAAATTATTTGCTTCATTTTCCCTATTTGTTCCAGTATATGGTTCTGAAAATGTGAATACCATACTTGTACATAAATTCTTTATAAATAAATTAATTCACAAAAAATCCCACAGTGTACATGTTTGCATTTTAATGTATG